AATTCAACAGCACGTCAAAAAGATTACACACCATGATCAAACAGCTCCCGCCCGAGGGTTCGGATCCCACATACAGACCGGTTCCCGCTCACTGGTTGAGCGAGGCGCGGGAGCAACGCCGAGGGTTGCGATCCCGTTGCCGGTCCCCGGTCCGGTATGGGGGCAACACTGAGGGTTGCGATCCATTGCCGGACACGGAAAAAAGACAAAAGACAAAAAAAAAAAAAACCTGCATGGTACTAGCTTAAAAAGACACATGGATCAATGGAACAGAATAGAGAACCCAGATATAAATCCACATATCTACAGACAACTGAATTTTGACAAAGGTGCCAAGAATACACATGACAGGAAGGATAGCCTCTTCAGTAAACTGGATATCCATATGCAGAAGAAATAAACTAGATGCCCATGTCTCCCCACATAACAAAACGAACTCAAAATAGATTAAAAAGTTAAATGAAAAACCTGAAACTTTAAAATTACTAGAAGAAAACATAGGGAAAACACTCCAAAACATGAATTGGTCTGGGCAAAATTTTATGGAGAAAACTTCTAAAGCACAGGAAACAAAAGCAAAAATGTATAAATTGGATTACATCAAACTAAAAAGCTTCTGGCACAGCAAAGGAAACAATCAATGAAGTGAAGAAGCAACTGGCAGAATAGGCAAAAATATCTGCAAACTGTTAATCCAACAAGGGATTAATATCCAGAATACACAACTCAATGACAAAAAAAAAAAAAAATAGCTAATAATGCACTTTAAAAAATGGGGAAATGACCAGAACAGACATTTCTAAAAAGAAGACATACAAATGGCCAACAGGTATATGAAAAATGCTGAACATCACTAATTATCAGGGAAATGCAAATCAAAACCACAATGAGGTATCATCTCACTCTAGTAAGAATGGCTATTATCAAAAAGACAAAAAGTAATTCTGGTAAGGATGCAGAGAAAAGGGAACTCTTATACACTGTTGCTAGGAATGTTAACTAGTACAACCTTATAGAAAACAATATGGAGATTCCTCAGAAAACTAAAAATAGAGCTACCACATGATCCAGCAATCTCACTGCTGGGTATTTTTCCAAAGGAAAAAAAATTTTTTTAATTGGCATACTAAAGAAATATCAGCATCCCCCATGTTTATTGCAAGACTATTCACAATAGCCAAGATATGGAATCAACCTAAGTGTCCACTGACAGATAAATGGATAAAGAAAATATGCTACATATACACAATGGAATACTACTCAGCAATAAAAAAGAATAAAATCCTATCATTTGCAGCAACCTGATGAGCCTGCAAAACATTACATTAAGTGAAATAAGTTAGGCACAGTAACAAATACCACACATTCTCACTCACATGCAGGAGCTAAAGAAAAATGTTGAAATTATAGAAGTGGAGGATAGATTTGTGGTTACTAGAGGCTGAGAAGGGGAGGGTGGGGGGATAGGGAGAGGTTGGATAATTAACACAAAATCACAGCAAGATAGGAAAAATAATTTCTAGTGATCTATGGTAGTCTTAGGCATCTACAACTAACAATTTATTGTATGTGTTTAATTGGCTAGAAGAGAAGAACTCAAATACTCTCATCACAAAGAAACGATAAATTTTTGTGATTATAAATATGCTAATTACTCTGGGATCATAATACACATGTACTGAAATATAACTCTGTAAACTACGAATATGTACAATGTCGATTAAAAAATAAACTTTAAAATAATAAACAAAAAATTCTACTTTCGCTTTTTCACTATTTGCATTGAAACAATCAAGTTAACTATAGAATTAATATGTTTTTAAACCTATACTCTTCCAAACAAAGCTAGTCCTTTCACTGTCTTTTAAGTATATTCCTATCTCCTTACTGCTATTTAGGCTATTGTCTCAATTTTGAATCCCTTACCTGGACGCTCACTATCCCTACTCAAATCCCATTCCTCACTCTTATCCTCTTCAAGTATGGAGAAGAAGCAGGCAAATTTTTTTAAAAGCCTTGTCAGTTGGGGATGTTGTGGAGCACCGGTGTATCTAAATATCATAGAAACATTAGTATAAGCAATCAAAAGATGTATGCTTTTAAATATTCCAGAATCTTACATAGTATTTGTATTAACCATAATATTCCAGATTTTCTATCTGGTAAGCCTAAATCTTCAGGTAAGTTTTAAGTGTAGTAAAATTTGGTTAGATCATATATTTTAGAAAACTAACCCAATATCAAATTTAAAAAATGAAACATGCTTGATCAAGTAATTCTATTTACTGTTCTAACCAGCTTACAAAGAAATATAGTGGAAAGGATCCTATGGATTAATACCTACTTACCCTTTGTCAGAAATAACCAAATGAAAAAAGAAATTAGGACTAACCTTTTACCTTTCTTACAAAATGAAAAATGCAGATTGTTGACTCTAAAAATATCAGGTTTTGGATATAAATATACTTTTAGCATGAGGATATTATGTGGATCACTAGGTTTGGAATACATATCACTAAATTGAGAATCAAAGTCAACAAAAAATGAAATCAAAATCCAAACTTGTATTTCAAAAGCACTTATTCAAAAAGAAAACATAAAAGGGTTTTTTAAATGTTTAAAATGATGAATACAAGAATCCCTTGGCTGCAAGAGAGGATTTTCCACTATAGGATTGGGAAGTCATACAGAAAATTACTAGTAATGGGTGTTAAACTATTGATATTTATAGGTAATGTACATGAGCACAAACAGCTCAAATAATTTGCTACTAAAAACATACAGTAGAAATACATCTGATAATTCTGTTGTTTTAAAATTTGACAATTATCTTAATAATTTACATTTTAATATAAGAACTTCAAATGTAAAAAACAAAAGAAACAACAAAAATGGCTACTTACACTATAATACAATAAAGAAATTAAATTATCTTTCCTCCCAAATCTTTTAATTGAGAACAGTTCCTGTTTTGGTTTTCAAGACATTGAATTTTTTAGAGTCCAAGCTGTTCTCATACAGAATATCACACATTCTAGATTGGTCTGATTATCAATGTAAAACATTTTCTTTCTGTGTCTGGCTTATTTCACTTAATATAATTTTCTCTAAGTTCATCCATGTTGCTGCAAATGGTAGCATTTCATTCTTTTTTACAGCAGAGTAGTACTCCATTGTGTAGATATACCACATTTTCCTTATCCACTCATCTGATGATGGACATTTAGGCTGGTTCCAACTCTTAGGCTATTGTAAATAGAGCTGCAATAAACATGGGAGTTACAGGTATGCATGTTCTCACTTATATGTGGAAGCTAATAGAAATAAATAAAGAAATAAATAGTGGAGAAAAAAGACACAACAATCACAATAATTCCTTGAACTTGTTAAGAGAACAGATATGATATTGATGGGGGTAGGAAAGGGGGGGGAAGGGAGGAATTGGTAAAAGGGCCACAGAAATCAACTATATTGCATAATGATAAATTTTTTAAAATTTACTTGAAAAAATTATTTTATCATTTTTCCCCTTTTTAAATTTATTTCTTAATATAAATGTATTCATTATACATATTTATGAGGTACAGTGTTATATTCCAATACATATATATAATGTGTAGTGATCAAATCAGGGTAGTTAAGCAAATTCTTCATCACAAAAATTTATCATTTCTTTGTGATGAGAGCATATGAGCTCCTCTCTTCTAACCATTTGAGAATATACAATAAATTATTTAAAAAAAAAACAATTTTGGCAAGAGTACTACATTGGTAGTGCAATATATCTCTTACTGAATCACATCAGGATTCACACCATGTAAGCTGCTCCCACTACTGGTGATTCTGCTGGATGGGTGGGTTAAGGGTGCAAATGTCAGATCTCTCCATTGTAAAGGTATATTTTTTCCCCCATTTGTAATCAGAAGTAATTTACGAAGTGATACTTTCATATCGTGTAAATAAAATGGTTTCTTTTAAAATGTATTTATTTCATTAGTCTCTTAAATGTTCATCATTACTATTTTCATTTGCAGTTTTATACTAGATTGCAAACAATGCTACAATAAACATCCTTGTACATATAACTTTGTGTGTTTTACGTGAATACATTTGGAAGAAAAATTGCTAGAAACATAACTGCTAGGTTCAAATGTATAAGCAATTTTTTTCTTTTGCTAGATATTGCCAAATTTTTAAAAATTGCTGCCATTCACAGCAACGCTGTTTCCTCACCCCTTCTTCCTCATCAACGCTGGACATCAGCAAAGTTTTTAATCTTTGCCAATCTGGAAGGTGAAAGAAAAATAGCAGCTCTCTAGTGTTTTAATTTTTATTTTTGTAAATAAAATGGTCAAGCATCTTTCCATGAATTTATTGAATATCTGAAATCTTTTGTCCATGAATTACTTCTTTATAGTCTCCATTCTTCTAGGAGGTATTTCTAAGAACAATATTTTAATACTGTAAGCAATGTACTTAGAGAAATGCATAACAAGATTCATTATAATATTCATAACATATTATTTTAATTGGTAATCTGTACCTAAAACCTCACACCCCCCCAAAAAGGCTATAGTTCTGGCAGTATATATTTAACTTCACTATTTTTAATAGACCTTTATCTGGCTGACCTTTGGATTAAGAATACTTTAATAAATGTGCCAGAGAATTTCATATATTAAAATCTCTGGAATTCTTTTTTTCTTAAAAATCAAATTTCTATAGGCAAGTAGTAGAAAGCAATTGAAAATTAAGAAATGAGCATATTGCTCTTTAACTAACATTTTAAAACCATTAATCTCACCTACGGTTTCTCATTTAGTACTAAACCAAGAAGACATTTCCAAGAACAGGGAAGCCAAAAATCTAAGTTAAATCTGTCTAGAGAGAGCATAGTACATCTATCTTTCACTGTTACGTGAGCTTCTTTCTACTTTAAAAATCAATTTCGTATAGACCTGCAGTAAACAGTCATGGGCTATAGTGAGATAAAAACTTGCCTGATCAATGTAAAAAGCCGTGCCTGCACGGATCTCTCTTCGCTGTTTGAGATCAGTTTCAGTAGTGTCCCTGGACAGGGCAATGTATTCAACCTCTCGTCTGGTCAGCTCCTGTAGAGCAGAGAGTGAAATCATTCCATAAATAAACCAAATTCCCAGCATATGATTTGGAACAAGTTATCTGACAATGCCTCCACCCTAGAGAAGAGCATTTTAAATCTGATTCAGGATTAAAACTTTGAGTCTCAGCTTTGAGAAAAATGCAATAAATTAAACACTAATCGAAATATGTATGTATCCTCAGAGCTCTACTTCTACTGCAGTCAATCCCATTATGTAAGTAATAATAACCAAAATTAGATCTTAACAAACAATTTCTCTTATAAAATTCTCCTCAAATATCATGAGTAATAATTTGGCAGTATTACTACTTGGTTTTCTCAAAAACGATAGCCATTTCTGTAAGTAATGTTCATCTTTCTTAAAAAGGGTGATTTAAATTAATTTATTCCATTGACCAGTGTTTACCAATTGTACACAATATGTTAGGTACTTTACCAGGTGTGAAAATAAGGTAAATACCAATGGTCAGGTGAACAGGAGAGAGGCAGACATGCACAGCTGAATAAAGAGAAGGAGAAGGAAAAGGAAAGCTGCCTCAGCTTTATTTCATAATTTAAAGTTTGTTGTTGGTTTTTTTTTAAGATACAGGCTTCACACTTATTGAACTGTGTTGCATTTTTGAACCAACATGCTTCCTATAATCTCCTAGCCCCTTTCATTCTACATTCCCAAAAAGTTTAAAAGCCTTGCCAAAAACAAAATCTCAGTGAGATATTATGGTCTTCAAAACAAGCAAGGTAGGGAGTGAACATCTTAAAATTAAAGAGGTTCTAGACCTAGAATTTACAGTAGCTGACTTAGCATCCTTAGACAAGACACTTCTGCCTTACATATGAATAAAGTCGGGATAATATTACAAAGGCAGTTTTGCCTCACAAATTGGTCCTAGGGATGAATAAAAGAGATGAAAGGTATGGGCTGGTGGGAGTGTGGTTCTGATTTGTCCATTATATTTTTATTATTCATGCCCCACATAATTTTTGAAGTAAATTTATGACTGAAATAAAAAGTACACAAAGTAGATTTTAATAGCATAGAAATCAATCTTTTAATACCAAATAACACAAGAAAGCTTTAAACAAGATATTTTTCCTCATCCTAAAAAGTATCTTCAGAACACAACTTCATCTGATGGTGTTCTTCCTTGAATCATTAGAGCAATGCCTACTAATACTGACAAGATAGTAGAAACATCATGCAAATTTTCTTATTTGGGTTGAGATTTGAACAATTCACTTAACAATAGTTATCAAAAAACTGCAAACATTTAAGAGACTAACGCATCAGAAAGGGGAAACAATATGGTATTTGGGGTCCAGCTCCATCATTTACTGGGTGCATAAAACTGAAGTAACTTACTTAACCTCTGTGAACTTGTTTTCTCATCTATTTAAAGAAAAAGCTTTAAAAAAAAAAAAAAAGAAGAAGAAGAAGAGCACATAACACATAAGAGATGCTCTACAAAACTTAGGCTCTGTTTAAAGACTGAATAACTTCATAAACTCAAGAGAATTTTCTGGCTTTTAAAAATGTAAACCTGAGATAAGTGAATGTTTACTGAGTAGTACAAAACTAAGTTTTGTTTTGTGATTTTTGAGTTGCTGATTCTATCTGCTACTCATTGCCTGAATCTGCATTTCTTTTCTACTGGAAATGGGGGACATTCTAGTTATAGTAAAATTTTGCTAAACTTATGAAATATAAATGTACAATTGCTTCCCAAATAATTTATGCCAAACCCTCTGTAAACAAACTACTACCCCTTGGTATTAGCATTAATTTCAAATAATGACTAATTCTGATATTTTGTTAAATTCTTAATCTTATTTTATCACATAGCTTATCAAGGTTAAGACCCTTAGGAATTAAAGAGAATTAATTGCTCACCAAGTATTGCATAGCAACAGAACGCCGAAGAGGCCCAGGAGGTCCTATTAGAAAGACATCTTGCCCCAAAAGATCCTTCTGCATTATCCATCTTAGATGCTGGACTACAGATTGAGCCAGAGAGTCTGAAACTTTCAGGGGGAAAAAAAAAAAAAAGAAAATGAAATGCATATTTGACAATAACTTATAATACAAATTTCCAAATACAGAAGATATATTTAAATATATATATTATTATGTTTATATATATAAACTGAAAATATATTTAAATATATATATGTATGTGTGTGGAGAGAGAGAGAGACCTGGTGATGAACCTTCATAATGTCTTATAATAAAACCATTAACATCAATGCTAAAACAGCACAAAGTTTATGGAATCACAAAGAATTACATAAAGGTTACATATCCCCCACTTGAAAGCTTATAAGACTATTTGAACAATCACCTAAATGGAATGAAAGTGATTTTCAAGAATGATTTGACAAACTTGTATCATTACTTTACCACAATTTTAAAGCCCAACCTTTTTGTTCCGAAAGGGAGATATAATCAAATCATCCCAGAAATAATGATTACCATAGTCTTAAAAATTTGAGAAAAGTATAACTTAAGTTAAAAATGGGTTATAAGGTCTCACGAACTTCACAGTTAGAAAATCTGACATAGACTTAAACTCTACACCAACTCTTGGGAATGAAAGACTACTCCATACAATGCCCTCCCAAGTGTACTGTTAAATCACCCATCAGTGTGCTCATCTTCTATCCAAGCATTTTCTAAAATGTTTAAATTAATATAATTAATTTGTATTTGCTCATATGTAAATCACTCAATGACCCAGAGTCCATTCCTAGATAAACAAGAAAAAACTCTTCTCCTTGTACACCTGAAGTCATGTAGAATACTCAGAGCAGAATTGTTCAAAATAAAACTGGAGACAGAAGAATGGATAAAATGTACACAATGGAATATTACATAGTAACAAAAACAGAAGGAACTAGTACTACTTCCAACAATAGGATTAACTCTTAAAGGTATAATACTGAGTGGAAAGATTAAGTCAGAATAAGTCACATATGATACTATTTTGATAAAACTCAATAAACTAGCAAATAAATTCTTTAGAAACATATACATATGATAAAAGAGTGAGTGAAAAAAGCAAAATAGCAAGGAAATGATAAATTCAGGATAACTGGATACTTGGGGTTGGGGGTGGACATGGAATCAGAGAGATTCTCATGAATAGCTTCAATGGTATTGGTAATATTTTAATTCTTAAATTGGGTGTGGGGTACAGTGTCTATTATGTTGTATTTTATGACACACAAGAAAGCTTGCCTAGAGCTAAAGCTGTGCTTATTTTCCTTTTATACACACACACACACACACACACACACACGCACACACACACTGGAAGCATTACATTTTTTAAAATTAATTATTTATTATTATTATCAATATACAATGAATGTGGTAGTTTCCCTGCCACCCTCCTAAAAAGCTAACATCATTGGAAAAGGTAATTTTCTGATTTTCATTATCCTGGTGGGAAGATCAGGACAAGATTTTGGGCAGTCTGGTTGGTTTATCGTGTCGCTGCAGTCACACTAAAACAGCTTATAATTTCCTCAGATCAAATGGCTCTATGTCTGAAAATCAAGAGACTCATTACCCATGTGGAGGTGCTTGGCTACTCTCCTTTTCTTTTATTATTATTATTGTTAGCATATTCATTATTACAAATCATGATTTTTCTTTATGCCCATTCCCTGACCTATCCCTCCCCAAACCCCCTCCCTCTCCC